GCCGCAAATCACGGACACAGCGGCCATGGCCTCTTCAAGCAAAAGCTCTGGTTGCAGCCGTAGATTTTGGGGCTCCCGTCCGTATTGAAGGGTTTAGAGGTTAGGGTGATCAAAGGCCTTGCAGTTGGCGCAACTTTGACAAAACTAAACCCTACGTGTATGATATACCTTACAACCCTAAACTAAGCCGAAAAGCCTAAAAGCCTAGAGCACTAAAGCCCCAAACCCTAAAACCTAAACACTAAACCCTAACACCCTACACCCAAACCGTAAACCCCAAACCCCAAACCCTAAACCCTAAACCCCAACCCCCGCAACCCTACACCTTCGACCGCCACACCTCGGCCTGAACGTCCACCGTCTCCGGCTTACAGAGCCGCTGCTTCCAGGTCATGGCCTCGGGGATCGAAAAGACCCCCCGAGTATGGGGGCGCAGGTAGGGTTTAGGGTTTAGGGTTTAGGGTTTAGGGTTTAGGGTTTAGGGTTTAGGGTTTAGGGTTTAGGGTTTAGGGTTTAGGGGTTTAGGGGTTTAGGGGTTTAGGGTTTAGGGGTTAGGGGTTTAGGGGTTTAGGGGTTGAGGGGTTAGGGGTTTAGGGGTTTAGGGGGTTTAGGTTTAGGGGTTTAGGGGTTTAGGGGTTTAGGGGTAGGGTTTAGGGTTTAGGGGTTTTAGGGGTTTAGGGGTTTAGGGGTTTTAGGGGTTAGGGGTTTTAGGGGTTTTAGGGGTTTTTTAGGGTTTTAGGGGGTTTAGTGGTTTAGGGGTTTAGGGGTTAGGGGTTTAGGGGTTTAGGGGTTTAGGGGTTTTAGGGGTTTTAGGGGGTTTGGGGTTTGGTTAGGGGTTTTAAGGGTTTTAGGGTGTTTAAGGGTTTATAGGGGTTTAGGGGTTTAGGGGTTTCGGGGTTTAGGGGTGTAGGGGTTTAGGGGTTTAGGGGTTTAGGGGTTTTAGGGGGTTTGGGGTTTAGTTAGGGGTTTTAGGGGTTTTAGGGTGTTTGGGGGTTTATAGGGTTTAGGGGTTTAGGGGTTTCGGGGTTTAGGGGTTTAGGATTTAGGGGGCTTAAGGGCTTAGGGTTGCCTTGGGGGCTTGGTGGCATGAGCCCAAGAGGCCACGCGAAGGGCAGGAGAAGGCATTGTGGGCTCGATGCCCAGCAGCCTGCACTGATTCCATGGGCGCGTTGTTGCGGGCCACGGGGGTCAGTGTTGTCAACCCTAAACCCTCTGGACCCTAAACCCTCTGAGCCCACAAAACCCTAAACCCTACTGTAAACCCTGAACATAAAACCCTGGACCCCAAACCCTCAACCCTAAACCAGACTGCAAGCTGCCAGGTTTGGGGATTGCTTTTGGGTGCTTGGTTTTAGGGTTTAGGGTTCAGGGTTTAGGGTTTAGGGTTTAGGGTTTAGGGTTTAGGGTCCCAATATTGACCCAATGTTGACCAGGCACCTTTCGTCTAGGGTCCAGGTTGTGGGGCTGCCCGAATTCTGATGCTTGCAGGTTCCTCCATCTCTGCTCAAGATCTCTGTGCCCACCCTACACCCCTTAAGCCTGAAACCCTAAAGCCCTCAATCCTAAACCCTAAACCCTAAACCCTAAAACCCTCAATCCTAAACCCTAAACCCTAAATCCTAAACCCTAAACCTTCCACCCCCCCTGAGCTCCTGCCTTCTGGCCCCTCAACTTACAAGCTTCTCCAACCTCAAGAGCTTTTCAAGCCCTGCACCCTCTTGGGTTTCGGGGTGTAGGGGTTTAGGGTTTAGGGCTAGGGTTCAGGGTGTAGGGGTGTAGGGTGTAGGGTTTAGGGTTTAGGGTTTAGGGTTTAGGGTTTAGGGTTTAGGGTTTAGGGTTTAGGGTTTAGGGTTTAGGGTTTAGGGTTTAGGGTGTAGGGTGTAGGGTGGAGGGTTTATCTTGTAGGGTGTAGGTCCCGCCCTCCCCCCGGTGGCCGCGCCTCCGTGGGTCTTCGATCTGCCATCGCCGGAAGGCAGACTGAGGGAGGCTTGGGGCTTTGAAGTTTAGGGTTTAGGGTTTAGGGTTTAGGGTTTAGGGTTTAGGGTTTAGGGTTTAGGGTTTAGGGTTTAGGGTTTAGGGTTTAGGGTTTAGGGGTCTTGAACGAAGAAGAGTTCAGGGCCTTTTGGAGCTTAGCTTTAGAGGTTTTGGGGGTTTGGGGGCTTTAGGGATTGCTGTTAGGCTTGTGCGTTACTGTGAAGGGAGAGGGGGAAGAATAACCCTAAAGCAGAAAACTCCCCTGGATCCCGGACGGAAGTGCTTGAGAAAAGAGCTTCCAAACCAACACCCCAACACCCTTACTGGGTCCTGACCCAGCCCTAAACCCTCAACCCTCAACCCAAAAACCCTACACTCTAAACCCTAAACCCTAAACCTTAAACCCTGCGCCCTGAACCACCCAAAGCAACCCTAAAATGGAACTTCGGACGAAGCCCGAAATCAACTTGCGGGCTCGACAAGCCAGAAGCCCGCTGCACGTCTAAACATGGTGCCCTCCACCTTGAACCCTCAACAGGGTTCCTAGAAGCCTGCTGAGGGTGCACGGTTGAGGTACCTCAACCCTAAACCCGAAAACCTAAACCTTAAACCCTACACGCTAAACCCCCCCCCCCCCCAAAAATGATCGAATAATAATCTTAATGATAAGAATAAAAATAAGAATAATAAGAATAATAAGAATAATAATAATAATAACAGTAGTAACAATACACCCGGGACCGCCTCTAAGGACCCTAAACTCTTAAAGCCTAACCCTGAAACCTGAACCCTGAACCCGAAACCCCAAACCCATAAACCCTAAACCCTAAGCCCTAAGCCCTAAACCCTGAACCCTAAACCCTAAACCCTAAACCCTAAACCCTAAACCCTAAACCCTAAACGCTAAACGCTAAACCCTAAACCCTAAACCCTAAACCCTAAACCCTAAACCCTAAACCCTAAACCCTAAACCCTAAACCCTAAACCCTAAACCCTAAACCCTAAACCCTAAACCCTAAACCCTAAACCCTCACCCGGAACCACCTCTAAGGAGGGGTTGAGGGTGGGACCTGGATGAAGAGCGCCGCCCGAAAGACCGCCCTGGGGTCCAGATGCTTCGGCGCTGCCTTGGGGGTGCTGAGAGGGTTTAGGGTTTAGGGTTTAGGGTTTGGGGTTTGGGGTTTGGGGCTTGGGGCTTAGGGTCTAGGGTTTAGGGTTTGGGGTCTAGGGTTTAGGGTTTAGGTTTTAGGGAGGGCCACCCGAAACCCTAAGCCTAGGCCGTAAGCGTTATCACTTAAGTTGCAAACCAGAGATTCGGCTCCGGGGGAGCCTCTGCCCCCCTGCAAGCATCGCCAAGCTCTCCGGCTCCCCCTCCTAAGAAGCCTTAAACCTTACAGCAGGGTTTAGGGTTTAGGGTTTAGGCGGTTTAGGGTTTAGGGTTGAGGGTTGAGGGTTTAGGGTTTAGGGTTTAGGGTTTAGGGCTTTAAAGCCCTAACCCTAAACACGAAATCCCAGTCTCTAAACCCTGAATCCTAGTCTCTAAACCCTAAACCCTAAACCCTTTTAGGGTTTCGCCACTTGGGGCTTCTTCACATCCCACGTGGAAATCCATTAGGTTGCCGGACTCTTGGGGTGCCTTAGGTTTTAGGTGTCTAGGTTTCATAGGGCTTAAGCCCCATAAGCCCTGTACCTAAACCCTAAACCCTAAACCCTGAACCGGAAACCCTAAACCCTAAACCCTAAACCCAAACCCCCGAGACGCCCCCCAAGGGAGACCTCCAGTTGGTCGCCCATGGCGTCTGGGGCCCGAAGCGCTCGAGAGGTTGGAGGAGGGAGCAGTTTTGGATGTTTAGGGTTTAGGGTTTAGGCTTAGGGTTCAGGGTTTAGGGTTTAGGGTTTAGGGCTTAGGGCTTAGGGTTTAGGGTTTAGGGTTTAGGGCTTAGGGTTTAGGGTTTAGGGTTTACGGTTTGGGGTTTAGGGTTTAGGGTTTAGGGTTTAGGGTTCAAGGCTTAGGGTTTGGGATTTCGGAGCTCAGGATTCTAGGGCTCAAGGTTGAGAGGGCTCAGGGTGGAGGGTTCTGGCCTTCTTTCCGGAGGCTGGGAGTTTAACATCGGTGAGGCATGTGGCTCTTTGAGCTGGTAGGGCTTAGGGTTTAGGGCTGAAGGGTTTAAGGGTTTGAGGGGTTGAAGGTTTATAGGGCTGAGGGCTAGGCGGGGCGTGCTTTTGGGAGTTTTGAGCGTAGATGGGCGTAGGGGAACGTAGGGGATCTTCTCCTGAACCCTTTTCATCACCAGCGCCCGGGAGCCAAAAGAAAGGGGGAAGTCGGCAACGTGAACGGCACTGCAAAGCCACAACCCTAACCCAGCCGAGGGTTTAGGGTTTCGGGTTTGGGGTTGAGGTTTGAGGGTTTAGGTTTTAGGGAACAGGCCTGAGGGCCATTTTACTTCGAGATATACTCTGACAGGGCCGATTCGGTGCTTGACTTCATTACTTTACAAGCCCAGAACTCTAGACCCTAAACCTTACGAGACACCCGAAACTGAAAAAGAAACTCTAAACCGCAACTTTGATAAGACTGAAAGCCTATATGCCCTTAAGCCCAAAACCCTCAAGCCCAATGTCAGGTAGGGGTTTAGAGTCTCTCCCGCGGCCACAACTTCCCCCACAGTGTTGAATTAAGTGGTTGGTTGAGGGTTATAGGAACAGGCTTCATGCTGCCGTACCCTAAACCCTAAACCCTAAACCCTAAACCCTAAACCCTAAACCCTAAACTCTAAACCCTAAACCCTAAACCCTAAACCCTAAACCTATACCATTGCAACGACCTGTTCGAATCCTAGAAGGCTGTCACGTTCGAGGCTTGCGCCAGGCCCGGAGCCCTCAACGCAAGAAACCTCAGCCCATGATTCTCTTGAACGAAAAAGGCTTGTCTGCAGCAACAGAAACACCCAAGACTCTACATCCCTCAACCCTCCAGTGCTCAAACCCTAAACCCTCGACCCTAAACCCCAAGAGCAGCTCCATGCCTCCTTGAGCGGCTTCGGGCGTGCCTCCGTGTAGCGTGAAGCTTGACATGTAGGGTTCAGGGCTTCGGGCGCAGGGAAATTCTATGAGGTTGTGTCGTAGTCCGATAGAAGTCTGACAAGCTGAAGGTATTTCGGCCGGTGATGCAACCACTAGAATAACTACGCACCCTCCAGATTTCTACTCCTAAATCCCAAACCGTTACCCCAGCCGTGAACACAGGGCAGGCTGGACCCTTAAACCCTAAACCCTAAACCCTAAACCGACACTCTGAATCCGATGAGGGCCAGCCTTCTCCAACTGCGTCAGAACCAGGGTGGCCATGGGCCCCGCAATGATATCCTGCTCTGGATGAAGAAAAGACAACATGAGCTGAGGTTTAGGGTTTAGGGCTTAGGGCTTAGGGCTTAGGGCTTAGGGCTCAGGGCTTAGGGCTTGGGGCTTAGGGCTTAGGGCTTCGGCCTTAGGGCTAAGGGTTTAGGATTTAGGGTTTAGGCTTTGGGGCTTGGTGTCGGATCAGTGGTTCAGCCAACTACACCCTACCACCTGGCTTTTGGTGAGGCTCGGGCGGGGCCTACGCCACAACAGTCTTGCCCCACAATACTCCCCAAATCCCCAGCTGCCCACGAGTTGCCCTAAACCCGAAAACCTAAATCCTAAGCCCTAAGCCCTAAGCCCGAAACCCTGGCTGTCGATCCAATGAACGGTAATCAATTGATCTTCCTGTACGTTTACTGCAACGAATTCTGTATGAGTAGACATGATTTTTATGTTTGCATGCATTGCCATATGGCAACAAGTTTAAATACAAAGTGTATTGTATATCACAAGTATCATACTCTGTTTCTGTTGGTCTTCATTGTTGCTGCAGGTATGTCTGCTGGAAGCCCTCACCCTCCAACGCCTCCAACTCGCACTCCATGACTTGGCGCGTGGCGAGCACCTCAAGAGTCGCAGAGTGTAGGGTTTAGGGTTTAGGGTTTAGGGTTGAGGGTTTAGGGTTTAGGGTTTAGGGTTTAGGGTTTAGGGTTTAGGGTTTAGGGTTTAGGGTTTAGGGTTTAGGGTTTAGGGTTTAGGGTTTAGGGTTAGGGTTTAGGTTTAGGCTTCAGGGTTGCGGCCTTAGGGTGTAGAGTTTGGGGGTTTAGAGTTCAGGGTTTAGAGTTTGGGGTCTCGACGCTTGGGGTTTGGCTAGGCAGGGACTACACCTTGTTGCTTTGTTTTGCGACATCATTCCTGCTAAGCCAGAGAGGCAGTTTGAGCTTGCTGGGGAAACCTGGACCCCTTCACCACAAGTCACAAGCTTCCCTGAAACTGCAAAGCCTTCCTTTCCCAAGTCCAACAAACCTGAATCCTATAAGCCCTAGGTTTACAGAAACGCCATAAAATGGTTTAAGGACGATTAATGCTGGGATTCCCTTCAGAAGCCCTCTTGGGGCAGGAGGGTAATGATCCAACTTTTGGGAGTTTACTGTAGGACTTAATGAGGGCTTGTGTGGAGCTAAACCCTAAACCCCAAACCCGAAACCCGGAACCATAAACCCTAAACCCTACAGTAAACCCCCCAACGCTGCAACCCCAGGCACCGCGAAAAGGAGGAGGTCTGTCTTGGAGATCTCCAAGTGCCCCCCGGCCTATCAGCTAGGGTTTTGACTTTAGGGTTTAGGGTTTAGGGTTTAGGGTTTAGGGTTTAGGGTTGAGGGTTGAGGGTTGAGGGTTTAGGGTTTAGGGTTTAGGGTTTAGGGTTTACGGAACCAACTGCCGGAGGCGTTTCGCGTTCGAGGGGTCAACGGGGCTGCAGGGTTTCCGAGCTTATGTGGTTTAGGAAGCTTGGGCTTCTTGGGGTTCGGTTTAAGGGTTGAGGGCTTAAGGTTCAGGAAGTTTAGGGTTTAGGGTTTAGGGTTTAGGGTTTAGGGTTTAGGGTTTAGGGTTTAGGGTTTCGGGTTTCGGGTTTAGGGTTCAAGTTCTCTGGAGTTGATTGACTTGCCGGGTCCAAGGCATTGCTTGATGACGACCGGCAAAACCTCAAGGGGCCCTGACCCACCTCCCATCTCTGACGCGCCCACCCCTCCCCGCCCCGCCCACACCCGCACAACTCCTTCAAGGTGTAGGGTTTACGGTTTAGGGTTTAGGGTTTCGGGAAATCTGAGCTACGAAACATCAAATTTCATAAGTCTATGACATGTTGAGCAAATGCAAACAGCCACGCAAGTCCTACAGCCCTAAAACTCCTAAATCCATACACACTACCCTGAAACCTCAAACCCAAAACAAACCTACTAAAGCCCCAAAGCCATATAAGCCCAAAACCTAAATCCCTAAACCTGAAAAAGCCTGAAATCCCTGAAGCCCTTTTATTGAAACCCCTAAAGAATCAATTCCGTTAAGCCCCATAAGTTGCCAGGGCTATGCTTCAAGCCCTCAAACAAACCTAAACCCCTAAAGCCCGAAAACTAATAACCTTAAACCCTAACCCTTTAAGCCTTCAGACCCTACCCCAAAGCCTACAGCCTACAGCCTAAAGCCTAAAGCCTAAACCCTATGCCCCGAGCCCCAAAGGTCCGAGATTTGGTCAACTTAGCCTCGGGATCCTCCCCAGGAGTCTGCATCATCTGCAGGGCCAAGTGCCGCAACTGGGACGGTGAGGGTTTCGGGTTTTGGGATTGGGGTTTAGGGCTTGGGGTTTAGAAGGTTTTGGGAGGGTTTTAGGGTTTTGGGGTTGAGGGTTTAGGGATGGGGGGCTTAGGGGTTTAAGGTTTGAGGCTTTCCGAGCCTAAACCCTAAACCCTAAACCCTAAACCCTAAACCCTAAACCCTAAACCCTAAACCCCAAACCGAAAGGTCCGGGCCCCGGGCCGAAGTCAGGGTGCCCTGGTTCGGTACTGGGTGGTAACCTTGGTGGACGCTGCTGAAAACTGGCGAGTCTGAGGGGGGGGGGGGGGGTGAAGGGTAGGGTTAGGGTTTAGGGTTTAGGGTTTGGGGTTAACGCCCGTAGCCCCCAAAGCTCTACCTGAAACCCCACACCCTGAACCCTAAACCCTAAACCCGAACCCTAAACCCTCATGGCTGTGGAGGGGACCCTCTAGGCCTCAACCCTAAGCCGCCTACAGCGTAGCTGGGGCCGCTGCTATTCTTCTTCGGCTGGAGTCGGTATCCCTCCGCGCTGAAGGGCACTCCTGTGCAGTCTGTGTGGTTCAACTACATGGCGCCCCGAGCCCTCAACCCTGAAACCTCCAAAAACACACCAAAAACACACCAAAAAGCACCAACAACACACCAAAAAACACGACAAATACCAAAAGCACCAAAAACACCAAAACACACCAAAAGAGCGCACACACACACACACACACACACACACACACACACAATGTAAAAAACAAAAGAACACCCCCAGCTCGCCAGCCCAGAACCCTAGCTCTGCCGGGGGGCCGGAAGTTTCGGCTTAGTGGCTCAGTTCATAAGCCCTTGATGGAAGCAACATCAGCTTGAGGGGTAAGGTTTAGGGTCTGGGGCTGAGGGTTTAAAGCCCCAACCCCTAAACCCTGAACCCCAACCAAGGGCTTCCAACGTGAAGCTTCAGCGGGGGGGGTAGCTCGAGTCCCGCGCGCGTTGTTCTCGAAGCCCGCTCAAAATTCCGGAGGAATATCGCGTCCTCCACTAGGCGCGGGCGCGCCCGCGCCCGACAGCTCCGAAACGGCGTCTGGGCTCGCGAACGGCGAAACTGTCGTCGCCTCTGGAGGACTGTCGTTGCTTTTCGGCTTCTGGGTTCCCGAATGTCAAGCTGTCGTCGCTTTTGTACGTCTGTGTTCGCGAGATGCGGAACTGTCGTCACTTTCGGACGTCTGGGTTTCCCAAATGCGAAACCGTCATGACTTTTGGGCGTCCGTGTTCGCGAAGTGCGAAACCGTCATTGCCTTTTGCACGCGGCTGGGCTCTCACTGCGTGGCATCTACGCTGGCAGAACTGGATGTGGGTTTGCATTGTTGGGGGGTTTCGCATTGTTGGGGGGTTTCGGGCCCTAAAAGCCTGTGCGGTTTAGTGCCCCAATACCTATGCCTTTCAACGAAGTCGATGGTTGTCTGGCACCATTCCAGGTCCCCCGGCCCAGCTAAAGCTTTCAGAAGCGTTGATGGCATCCGGTACTTTAGGGTGTAGGATGTAAGGCCTCAGGGCTTCATGGGTTAGCACTTCAGTAGCTTGACAAGCCCGAAACCCTAAACCCCTAAACCAAATAGAATCTAGGTGTCAGGGGCAAACAGCGAAAAGTGGTTTAGGGGCCAGAAACCCTGCCCCAAATTAAGAACAAGGATTTCTCGGGAAAGGGCACCTCCTTCAAGGGAACATCAGGGCACAGGCAGTGGGAACGACCTACGCCCCAATACAGGGGTCGGAAGAATTACTAGTCATACTCCCTTCTGGTCCTTTTTGTTTGTAAAAAACCCCGAAAACCCTATTCTAGTTATTCAGGCCTAAATCTGAAGCCCCTACGAGACCTGACGGACGAGGCCTTCAATCTCGGCGTCTGTCAAGCTCACGTAGAGGCCATTCAGGTGGTTGAAGAGGACCTCTCTTGAGCAATTGGCGTTCGGCGGCATGGGATGGTTTGGGTTCAGGGTTTAGGGTTTAGGGTTTAGGGTTTAGGGTTCAGGGTTTAGGGTTTAGGGTTTAGGGTTTAGGGTTTAGGGTTCAGGGTTCAGGGTTCAGGGTTCAGGGTTCAGGGTTCAGGGTTCAGGGTTCAGGGTTCGGGTTCAGGGTTCAGGTTCAGGGTTCAGGGGTTCAGGGTTCAGGGTTCAGGGTTCAGGGTTAGGGTTTAGGGTTTAGGGTGTAGGTTTTAGGGTTTAGGGTTTAGGGTCGCGCTCCCAGATTTTAGAGTTCAAGGGTTTGGGGTTTAGGCCCGACAAGGCGGCACCATTGTCAAGTGGTTCTAGGTGTAGTAGATGTACTTGTCACGATGCTAGCGGTAGTGGAACTTGGAAATTTCTTTCAGCCATTTGGGGGTTTGCTAAATTAAGGTACCGTATTGGGCTCCCTGTTCTAAGGGGATCCTACTGCATGGGGAGGGGGGGGGGGGGCGATATTCGCAGTCCCCTATTGCGTAAACCCCCATATCTGGTTCAGCCTAACCTCCCGTTCATGCAAGTCAGCTTCCATATCAGCAGGAAAGCTAAGCTGGCAGATTCTTTCAGGGTTCAGGGTCTAGGGTTCAGGGTTTAGGGTTTGCAGCCAGGATTTAGGGTCTTCAAGTGACAGAGGTCTGTTTGGAGTCGCTGAGAAGATCGATCGCCAGCCGGGATCTATCTCCCAAGGCGGTCGGGCACCGGGTTTGCCTAAACCTGAACCCTGAACCTGGACCCTGAACCTGAACCCTGAACCCCAAACCCTAAACCCTAACCCTAAAACCCTAAACCCAAGCCCCAAACTCCCCGCCTGCATGTGATCCTTGGGGACCCGCACCTGCTTTGAGGAGTTTACATTTACGGGTTCAGGGGTTCAGGGGTTCAGGGTCAGGGTTCAGGGGTTCAGGGTTTAGGGTTTGGGGTTTTGGGGTTTGGGGTTTGGGGCTTGGGGCTGAGGGTTCCTGTGTTTTTTGCTGTTCTTTCAGATTCGGGACTTCTCGACTTTAGGGCTTGTAGCGCTTGGGGCAGTTAGGGTTTAGGGTTAGGGTTAGGGTTTAGGGTTTAGAGTCTAGAGTTTAGGGTTTAAGGTTTAGGGCTTATCGGTTTTTCAGGGCTTGGGGAAAGAGATCAACAACCTGAGAGCCCAAAACGCCCCGAAGCCCTAAAGCGCCACTCTGCCCAAAGCTTCCCGAGAAGCCCGCCCGCAAAGCTAGCCTGGCCATTCCCCAAGATGGTTTTAGGGTTCCGGGTTTCGCATGTAGGGCTTAGGGCCTCAAGGTTTCGGACCTCCTGTTTCCGCAACAAAAGCTGGAAAAAGTGATGAGAAGACACAGGGAATCCTTGTTACAGGAAGCCCCCCCCCCCCCCCCCCCCCCAAAAAAAAAAGGAAAGGTGCCCCTACTTTCGGAAAGCCCCCACAGCCCAAACCCAGCTGAAGGTTCTTTTGGGTCTGGGGGGGGGGAAGCCCTAAACCCTAAGCTTTGGAGTTTAGGGCTTTAGGTTTTAGGGGGTTAAGCTGTAGGGCTTAGGCAAAGGGACGAACTCTCATCAAGAACAAAGACGAATGAAAGAAAAAATCTTGATGCGGGGCTGTTGCACTCTAACCTGGATTCGGTTTGGGGTTTGGGGCTTGGGGTTTAGGGTTTAGGGTTTAGGGTTTAGGGTTTAGGGTTTAGGGTTTAGGGTTTAGGGTCAGGGGTTTAGGGTTTCGGGTTTAGGGTTCGGGGTTTAGGGTTCGGGGTTTAGGGCTCTCATTTTGGGTTTTGGAATAGACTGAAACCCGCCGGCCGTGAGCCCTGCCCTACAGCGCCCACTCGTACCCTTAAACCCCTAACCCCTAAACCCTAAACCCTAAACCCTCAGGTTCATTGGGGTTTTGGTGCCTTGTACGTTCCGCCCCAGCCAGTCGCTGCGGCCTGGTAGTCCAGATTCGAGTTATGGCAGCCCGCCTATGAACACCCTAAACCCTAGCCCTAAACCCTAAACCCTAAACCCTAAACCCGAAACCCGAAACCCTAAACCCTAAACCCTAAACCCAAACTCTAGAACCCTAAACCCGAAACACAAAAAGCCAGGCCTGAACCCAGTAAACCCCATTCTTGGCCTCTCGCAACCCTCTAATTCGAGGAACATGAGGACTTCAGGCTATTTAGGGTCTATTTAGGGTCTATTTAGGGTCTATTTAGGGTCTATTTAGGGTTTAGGGTTTGGGGTATAGGTTTTAGGGTTTAGGGTTTAGGGTTTAGGGTTTAGGGTTTAGGGTTTAGGGTTTAGGGTTTAGGGCTTAGGGCTTAGGGTTTAGGGTTTAGGGTTTAGGGTCCAGGGTCCAGGGTCCAGGGGTTCAGGGGCGAAGGCGCCCCCAAAATCCCAACAGACCCAAGCCTCGAAATACCTTCAGAGTGCCAGACCTTGAAAGCTTGGGATCTACGTCACAACTCTGGGAATACTAAAACCCTAAACCCTAAACCCCAAACCCTAAACCCTAAACTCCAGCCTGGAGTAAGTCGCAAGAAACCGGGGAAAGAAGGACTTGGGCACTTTTTGGAATCGCCATTCTCATTTTGAGGTCTGGGCTTCCAGCCCCTGGCTTGAGGGGTCATGATGCTTGCAATGAAGAAAACAAAGCCCCAAACCCTAAACCCTAAACCCTAAACCCTAAGCCCTAAGCCCTAAACCCTAAACCCTAAACCCTAAACCCTAAACCCTAACCCGAAATTCAACCCTTGAAGCCCGAAAGGGCAACAGGCTGAACCCCAGAATCGCGCGCTTTTTTCACTGGGGCTCCGCAGGCCTCTACCCAAGACCAGGCATTCTTCAAGGCTTCAAGCGGTCCCTAGACCCTAAACCCTAAACCTTAAAGTCTAAACCCTAACCCTAAACCCTAAACCCTAAACCCTAAACCCTAAACCCTAAACCCTAAACCCTAAACCCTGAACCCTGAACCCTGAACCCTGAACCCTGAACCCTGAACCTGAAGGTTTCTGCAAGGATCTCCGAGAACCAGGCCGGCTGACCGCTCTCATCCACCTCCAGGCCTTCGTAGACTTTAAGGTGGAGAGAGTTTAGGGGGTGTAGGGTTTAGGGTTTAGGGTTTAGGGTTCAGGGTTTAGGGTTTAGGGTTTAGGGTTTAGGGGGTTCAGGGTTCAGAGTTGAAGGGTTGAAGGGTTTAAGGGTTTAAGGGCGTAGGGTGTAAGGATTTAGGGTCTTAAGGGCTCAGGGTTTAGGGTTGAGCCCCAAGTCCTGCTTCTGAAAGTGACGGCCCTTTTGCTTGAACGGCCCGAAGCCCGAATTAAGCCCTACACCCTAATCCCTAAAGCCCACCTTCCAATTCGGGTTCGAGTTTGGGGTCTATGGCTTAGAGTTTAGGGTGTAGGGAGCCCCCCCCCAAGACCCCTCAATGGAGGAGAATATCTCCTTAATCTTCTAGGGCAAAAGATGGCAATTCCAAAGGTAAGAGGCTTTCGGGTTCAGGGTTTTAGGGCTTAGGGCTTAGGGCTTAGAGCTTAGGGCTTAGGGTTTAGGGCTTAGGGTTTAGGGTTCAAGGTTTAGGGAACCACCAGTTCAGTCTGCAGGCCGCGGAAAGCGATGTTTCCCATCACTCTCCTGAGTGGATATGCCAGCACTCGGCTGGAGCACGATCGTGCGCTCAGCCTCCACTACAGCCACCAAGCACTTTGCATGCGACATCTCGTGGGCAGTGTAGTCCCTCACACCCGCAAGCTGAGCTGCGCTGCACATGGCTCAGAGAACTATCGGCCACTGTCGTCGCCCTTGAGCCACCGCATAATCGCCTTGACCTTCAGAATCTTCATCAAGAACTGCCCTTCACTCTGGAGGGTTGAGGGTTGAGGGTTTGGGGTTTAGAGTTTAGGGTCTGAGGTTTAGAGTTTAGGCTTTCGGGAACCACGAGATCAAGAAGTGATTCCTGAAGTAACCCTAAACCCTAAACCCTAAACCCTAAATCCTAAACCCTAAACCCTAAACCCTAAAACCCTAAACCCTAAACCCTAAACCCGGGCCATTGGGGTCGCTGGCTGTCTGGGATTTGGGGGATGCTTTGGGCCTTGGTGAGGTCAGGGCTTCCTAGGGTTGCTTTGGGTCTGGGCAGGGAAGAAGTTTAGGGTTTAGGGTTGAGGGTTTAGGGTTTAGGGTTTGGGGTTTGGGGTTTAGGGTTTAGGGTTTAGGGTTTAGGGCGACCCTTCGACAGGACGTGCCACATCGTAACCTCAGTGCTGTGCTCAAGGTGTCGCTGACACCGACGCAGTTTTGGACCAAGGTCCTGTCATGCAGGCGGCAGCTTCAGGTTCACGTAGGGCTTAGGGTTCAGGGTTGGGGTCATCATGGCTCCAGCCCGCACCCCCCCCCCCCCGCCCCAAAGACAGGCTGGAACTCTGATCCCGAAACAGCCCTGAACCCTAAACCCTGAACCCTTAAATTCCAAGAAAGCGAAGGGGTCTCAACCCCGGCCCTTGGGCGAAGTCTGCGGTCGCGCTTTGAGTTCAGGAGATTTGAAAAGCTCGAAAGCCCTCAATCGGGTTTAGGATTTATGGTTTAGGGTTTGGGGGTGCAACCCTATAAAGCCTAAAGACTGAGCCCGCCCAAATAGACCGAACTAGATGACAGCATGCTGCTGGTGATAAATAGCACGAGTTCCCTGAGCAACCTAAACCCTAAACCCTAAACTCTAAACCCTAAACCCTAAACCGAGCTCTAACAAGGGAGCCGAAAATGAAAAAATGTCATCCCTAAACCCTGAAGCCGCGGACCCTGAACATCTAAACCCAACACCTCCAACACCAGCCACCCACCCCTCCAGAGAAAAACATACATGGAGGGGGGGGGGGGGGGCAATACTAGCAATGCCTAGACAAGCGATCACAAGAAATGGTCATCACACATGAGAATTGCTAGGATGGCCTTTAAAACTCCGCTGAAAAATATTCCTGAATGTGCTCCTCTTCAACCCAAAAAAGGGAAAATTTAAAGTATCCCCAAGGGCCTACCCAGGAATGCAAACAAGAACAGAGCTTCAGCACCCTAACCCAAACCCTAAACCCTAATCCCGCCCGCCACCCAACTCTCTTGTCTTTTGGGGTAGGCGGGCGCTGGTCGAGCGCTCAGGGAGACCTTGCGAGGGAGCCCAAAGCAGACGACCGAGCTTGCTGCCGCGCACATTGTTGGGTCCTGCCCCTGGTTCCCTCACCCCCGTCCGCTGGGCTGCGCGGACCAGGGCCAGGCCAGGGCCAGGGCCAAGGCCTCCAGCGGCCAGGGCCAGCTAAGGTCAGGCTAGGGCCAGGGCCAGGGCATTTTTGCCAGCAAAGACAGGTCAGGGGCCGAGCAATTTTTGCCACAGCCCTGCCTGCCCCAACAAAACGGTGGCCTTGGTCCTGGCTTTGCTGGCCTTACCCCTTCGCGCCAAGCCCGCTGTCCGCACACTAGTTTAGCTGTCCACTCGCTTCGCGCCAACCCCAGCCCCTGACCCTGCCTCCCTGGCTTTAGCCCCTTCGCGCCAACCAAGCCTCGCTGCCTGTGTCTGTTCCTGGCCCGGCCATCCCTGGCCTTAGCCCCTTGGCCCCAACCCTGCCTCGCCTTTCCGTCTGCGCATCGCAAATGCCCTGGTCCACACACCTTGTGGAGGTCCCCAAAAGGGCGTGAGTGCTGACTCATGTGATGCTTCGTAAAAAAAATAAAAGGTCTTAACTCCTTGAGAGTTGTAAGTGGGCGGTCTTGGGGTGGGTAGGTCTGCAGACTACCGCGCGCTCCCAAAGCGCGCTTCCGTTTGGCACGCCCTAAACCCTAAACCCTAAACCCTAAACCAGATGTTTCAGCGAGCCGGGTGGACATGTAGGCTGAGAAGGCGCAGGCCCTGGTCGGTTTGGAGGTGGTTGGAGGTCGGGATGCTTCTGGCTGAGGTTTAGGGTTTAGGGCCCAGTTAGGGTTTAGGGTTTAGGGTTTAGGGTTTAGGGTTTAGGGTTTAGGGTTTAGGGTTTAGGGTTTAGGGTTTAGGGTTTAGGGTTTAGGGTTTAGGGTTTAGGGTTTAGGGTTTAGGGTTTAGGGTTTAGGTTTTAGGGGTTAGGGTTTAGGGTTTAGGGTTTAGGGTTTAGGGTTTAGGGTTTAGGGTTTAGGGTTTAGGGTTTGGGGTTTAGGGTTTAGGGTTTAGGGTTTAGGGTTTAGGGTTTAGGGTTTAGGGTTTAGGGTTTAGGGTTTAGGGCTTACGGCTAGAGTTTAGGGCTGGTAGAGTTGTGGGGGCAAGGGCTGTGTGGAAGCGGGGTCTACCCCGAAGATGGAAGGGGTTTTCGGGCTTGGGACTGAGGATCTCGCGAGGGTGCAAGGATGTTTAGGGTTGAGGGTTGAGGGTTTAGGGTTGAGGGTTTAGGGCTGAGGGATGCATGGCTTGATTGAGGGATATCAGGAGGGACCCCTAGAACTGACCCTTCATCTTATTCCCCTATGTGCCCCCCCCCTAGATTATAGGGCTTAGAGAAGCTCCTATATGTGGGTTTACGACATTAGGGGCGCCTTATTTGGGATCCTTTTTAGTCCTACTATTTGGGGTCTGTTTCAGGGTTCCCTATTTTCGTAAACCCTCATATGTAGCTTAGAGAAGTTCCTATATACCCCCCCCCACCCCCCTAAACCCGACAGGCGGATCCTAGGACGGCAAACTCGAAAATCCCCAAGGAGTCCTAAGCCGAAATGGGGGGCTTCTGGGGAGCCCAGCAATAGATTACAATAAAGCCGAAATGGGAGCCTGTCTTGGTAGCCCAGCAACTACTAGTTCCCGGTTCGTTTTTACTTTCTTTTCCTCTAGCTACTCAGATGTTTCAATTCGCTAGGTTTAAAAATTTCCTCATTCGCATATCTCCGGATCATAGCTTGTTTCCAGCTCCCCGAAGCGTTTCGTCGGCAACTTTTGGTTTCTTAGGGTTTATGGTTGAGGGTCTAGGGTCTAGGGTCTAGGGTCTAGGGTCTAGGGTCTAGGGTTTAGGGTTTAGGGTTTAGGGTTTTGGGGGTAGGGCTACCAAGCGTGGGCCCTCCGAGTGCGAAGCTGGACCGGAGAGTTGAAGTCGCTGTCCACGAGCCTTGCTTGGGTCTCATGGGGTCGTGGGTTTAGTTGTGGAGCTGTTTCTCTCTAAACCCTAAACCCTAAACCCGAAACCCTAAGAACCCCAAACCCTACCAACCCCCAAACCTCGCCCTGGGGCACTGGCTCGAGGCAAACGTTTCGGAGCTCCGTCATCATCGATGGAAGCTCCGCACGGAGAAGGGGCCTCGGCTCGCCAGTTTAGGGTTTAGGGTTTGGGGTTTGGGGTTTGGGGTTTAGGGTTTAGGGTTTAGGGTTTAGGGTTTAAGGGTTTAAGGGTTTTAGGGTTTTAGGGTTTTAGGGCTTTAGGGTTTTAGGGTTTTCGGTTGAGGGCTCTTGAGAGTTTAGGGTTTAGGGTTTGAGCTTCAGGCTTTAGAGATTCGGGCTTAGGCTTGGGGTTCTTTGGTTTAGGGAGTTTGGGCCTAGGTTGTTTAGGGCGTAGGGTTTAGGGTTCAGGGTGCCGGGATTATTCTTGCAGGGGGGCAGGGGGGGGGGGGGGGGGGGGGGGGGGGGGGGGGGGGGGGGGGACGAGGAGTTCCGTGAACCCATAAACCGTCACCAAACCCTACACCTTCTAAGCCCTGCAATTCCTAAGCCCCCTTGGCCCTAAACCCTAAATCCCAAAAACTCCCCAAACCCTCAACCCCAAACCCTAATCCCTACCAGGGCCCCTAAGCCTAAATCCCTACACCCTACCAGTAGGCTTTAAAAAACTCGCTAACGAAAAGACGCTGCTGTCGGGTGCCCGGCAATTCCGTGAATCCTTGGAGCATCTCTGCCACCTTCGGGAGCTTGGTTTGGGGTTTGGGGTTTGGGGTTTAGGGTTTGGGGTTTGTTTAGGGTTTAGGGTTTGGTTTAGGGTTTAGGGTTTAGGGTTTAGGGTTTAGGGTTTAGGGTTTAGGGTTTAGGGTTTAGGGTTTAGGGTTTAGGGTTTAGGGTTTAGGGTTTAGGGTTTAGGGTTCAGGGTTTAGGGTTTAGGGTTTCGGGTTTTAGGGTTTAGGGTTTAGGGTTTGGGTTTGGGTGTTAGGGTTTGAGGTTTAGGTTTAAGGGTTTAAGGTTTAGGGTTTAGGGTTTCGGGTTTAGGGTTTGGGTTTAGGGTTTTAGGGATTTAGGGTTTAGGGTTTAGGGTTTTTAGGGTTTTAGGGTTTAGGTTTAGGGTTTAGGTTTGGTTTAGGTTTAGGTTTAGGGTTTAGGGTTTAGGGTTTAGGGTTTAGTGTTTAAGGTTTAGGTTTTAGGTTTAGGGTTTAGGGTTTAGGGTTTAGGGTTTAGGGTGTTAGGGTTTAGGTTTAGGGTTTAGGGTTTAGGGTTTAGGGTTTAGGGTTTTAGGGTTTAGGGTTTAGGGTTTAGGTTTTTTATGGTTTGAGGGTTTAGGGTTTAGGGTTTAGGGTTTAGGGTTTAGGGTTTAGGGTTTAGGGTTTAGGGTTTAGGGTTTAGGGTTTAGGGTTTAGGGTTTAGGGTTTAGGGTCTATTTCGGTTCAGGGCTTAGGGCTTGGAAGATCCTTTACAGTCGTCCAGGGGGAAACGGCCAACGCTTTAGGGTTTTAGGGGTTAAGAAGTCAGTGGAGGGGGGGGGGGTTACCAGAGTCAGCACCTAAGAGCATACGGCAGGCATCCGCAATAACACGGTTTAGGGTTTAGGGTTTAGGATTAGCTCGACCCAGCCCTGAATCCTACAATAAATGCTGCCCGCAGTTGGAGGGTTCAAAGCTTAGTGTAACCCTAAACCCGAAACCCTAAACCCCAAACCCTAAACCCTGAACCCTAAACCCGAAATCTTAGCAGCAGGCCTGCAACTCGGCCGCCTTCCTTCCCTCAGGAGACACACCTGGCCATGACGCCATCGCTTCCAGCGGGGGGGGGGGGGGGGGGGGGTTTGGGGGGTTAAGGGGATTTAAAGGCGTTTAGGGCTTAGGGTGGAGGGTTTAGGGTTTAGGGTTTAGGGTTTAGGGTTTGGGGTTTGGGGTTTCGGGTTTGGGGTTCAGGGTCGAGGCTTGGGGCATAAGGATGGTGATCCCGAAGCCCTAAACCCTCGCACGCAAGCAATGACAACGATCAAAAAGAAATCACTCCCCAGCTCTGAACCACTCCTACTTCTGAGGGCGGTGCGCGAGCAAAACAGGGGCCCTAAACCCTACACTTCCTGGCTGACGACGCAGAAAAAGCGCAATACAGCAGACCCTTGGAATCCCAATTGCAACCCTCGCCCCCTCCCCCCCTTCCCCCCACGAACCAAAAAAACTAAATCCCAAAACCTAAAACCCTAAACCCCAAACCCTACATCCTTAACGCTAAACCCTAAACCCTAAGCCAAGCCCCCAGTGAGACCTAACCTCCGGAGATTGGCCTTGTGTCTCGACCCAGAAGGCCATGCGAACCTTACGTTGAGCAAAGGGTTTGGGGTTTAGGGTTTAGGGTTTAGGGTTTACGGTTTACGGTTTAGGGTTCAGGAGGTGGCACCCTGCAGGATGAGACTGTTACGATTTCAGGTTGAGGCTGAGGGTTTAGGGCTTCAAGAGGACAGGAAAACTTTTGGGGCCTTACTCGTCAAGCCCTAAGGCCCTACATGTGTCAATCCCTAAACCCTAAACCCTAAACCTCTCTTTTTGCGATGATGATGATTATGATGATGATGATGATGATGATGATTCTTCTTAGTTTCATTCTTATTTATCTATTTATGGATTTGTTTTTTATTACGATTATTATTATCATTATGATTATACAAATACATAAACTCGAATGGAATCGTGGACATAGGCACAAGCCCTTCGTGGGCAAGGCACAGGGCACAAACCTTCGTGGGCAGAGGCTATGCCCACGAGGGTTTGTGCCTATGCTCACCAAGGTCGTTGGCTATGCCTACGAAAGCTTGTGCCTAAAATCTGTTCCTGGCAGGTCATTTAGGCACAAACTTTTGTGGACATAGGCACAACCCTTCGTGGGCATGAGGCACAAACCGTCGTGGGCACGGGTACAAACCTTCGAGGGCATAGGCACCCACCTTCGTGGGCCTGGGACGGCCTCTGGGCTTTAGGGTTTAGGGGTTAGGGTTTAAAGCTTAGGGTTAAGGGTTTAGCGTTTCAGGGTTGCTGCCCATGTGGTCGAGGCACTCTGCACCATACGAAGAGCCGGGTGCCCCACGTGCCACATGACGGAGGCCACCACCGACTCTAGCATGAGCAGAGTCAGACCTTGGACACGTTGGCCCTTAAGCTTGAAACCCCATCATGGGGGGGGCTTCCGCAAACTAGGGGTACCCAAAGGGATTCTATTCTATTTGGGGTATGAATGGGGTACGCCTCTTGTGGGAAATATCAAAATTTCTGGAACAGAATCTGAAAACTGGGAAAGTAGCCCAAGCGACTGTCCACACCTCTCTCCTCTAGCTAGACCCAGAGGTTTAACTGCAAAACCTATAGAGCCGCTTTTGAAGTGATTGAAACTTTCTTTAGGGCTCAGCGTGTTCTGAACCCAAGTCCTTAACCTTAACCCTAAACCCTAAACCCTAAACCCTAGATCCTGAAACCCTCCAAGCTTTCCGCGAAAAAAGGAACCCGAAGTCCCACTCTGGGGCTCCGTCGCACATCGGGGACATCTTCTGGACGGCTCTGCGAGGGCGTGTTCGGGTTTAGGGTTTAGGGTTTAGGGTTTAGGGTTTAGGGTTTAGGGTTTAGGGTTTAGGGTTTAGGGTTTAGGGTTTAGGGTTTAGGGTTTAGGGTTTAGGGTTTAGGGGTTAGGGGTTAGGGGTTAGGGGTTAGGGTTTAGGGTTTAGGGGTTAGGGGTTCGGGTTTAGGGGTTAGGGGTTAGGGTTTAGGGTTTAGGGTTTAGGGTGCAGGGTTAGGGACTCGTGGTTTTGGGCTGAGTTTGTCAAGGTTAAGAAGTTTTAGGCTTGGAGGGTTTTGCAGCTACATGGCCATAGAGGAGGAGGGCAGAAGAGGAACCACCCTCAGCAACCCTGAGCCCGAAACAGCCTATCCATGAGTCCCTAACCCTAAACCCTAAACCCCAAAACCCTCAAAACCTAAGCCCAGAGTCCATGAAACCCAAACCCTAAACCCTAAAGCCCTGAACTCCAAGCCCTGAAGTCCCGAAGCCCCAAACCCTAACACCCTACACCCTAAACCCTAAACCCCAACACCCTGAACTACGAAACCCTTAAGCTCCTAAACCCTAAACCCTAAACCCTAAACCCGAAACCCTAAACCCTAAACCCCCTTCAACCCTGGAGCCCCCCGAATCTCCGGCCTGCAGCCGCCGTCGCTTTCGAGGCCCGGCCGTCTCCCCTCCTAGCGCGAGCGCGAGCGTCTGGGAGCTTTTGTTGGGTTTTTGGCGTCTTTCGAGGGTTTGGGGTTTAGGGTTTAGGGTTTAGGGTTTAGGGTTTAGGGTTTAGGGTTGAGGGTTTAGGGTTTAGGGCTTTATAGGGTTTAGGGGTCATCGGCGCTCCATGGCTCCTGGAGAGAACGGGGACCAGAGCGGCGATCGAGGGGAGCGAGGGCTCGTGTTCGGCTCCTCCTTGACGCTGTCGCGTTGCGCCTGGTATCCGGGTCGGTTTAGGGTTTAGGGTTTAGGGTTTAGGGTTTAGGGTTTAGGGTCTAGGGTCTAGGGTTTAGGGCTTAGGGCTTAGGGCCTAGGGTTTAGGGTTGGGGGTATAGGGGGGCTTTGGGGCTTGGGGGGGGGGTTAGGGTTTGTAGGGTTTGGGGGGCTTGGGGGTTTGGTTCAGGGAGTTCAGGGGGTTCAGGGAGTTCAGAAATTTCAGGGGGTTTAGGGGGTTTAGGGAGTTTAGGGGGTTTAAGGGGTTCAGGGTGTTTAAGGTTTCTTTTTTTGGCTCAGGGGGCTTCGGGGGTTCCAGGGGTTTTCGGCTTTAGGGCGTTTAGGGCGTTTAGGGTGTTTAGGGCGTTTAGGGCGTCTAGGGCGTTTAGGGCGTTCAGGGCTTAGATGGCACAGGGCTTGACGGCGTCTTTGGCTTAGAGATTTTTGGTTCAGGGTTTGATTCGGGCTTGCTGGCTTTGCAGGGGCCAGCTAGTGTTCTCCCAGAACCCCAAGCCCTAAACCCTAAACCCTAGACCCTAAAACCCTAAACCCTAAACCCAAATCCCAAACCCTAAACCCTAAACCCAAAACCCTAAACCCTAAACCCTAAACCCGAACCGACTGTACCTGTTAAAGTCTCAACATCCTAAACCCTTTTGGCTACTCAAGAACTGCGATTTCTGGGTTTAAACCCAACTTGAACCCAGCAGGGGTGTCGGGTTTGGGTTTAGGGGTTTAGAGTTAGGGTTTCAGGGTTGAGGGTCTCGGCGATGTTGTGTAAAGGACTTAGAGAGTCCGGGTCGCGGGGGTATACTGCACGTTGCAGGTTGGCTGCTTGGATATTTAGGACTTTGGTGCGGGGCTTGAGCCCCTGAAGTTCCTAACCCCCCAAATTCCCTAAGCCCCCCAAGCAGCCTGTTCCAACAGCTTCCTTCGCTCCTGCCCAGGGGCCAAAGCGGGGAGGAGGTGTCCGAACCCCTCACCCCGCCTAACCCAGCCCAGAACCCTTAAGCCCTTAACCCCTAAACCCTAAACTCCAGTTTCGGACTTGCTACAGATCAGGCTACGGGCTCAATTTCGGGTTTCGGGAAGAGGGTGCATGGTCAGGCTTCCCCACTCAAGAAGAGAAAAGGGTGCCTTTCGGTGTTTTGGAGTTACAGGGGATCCTACAATGGTTTCGGGTTTAAGGGTTTAATGTAGCTCCATAACCCTAAAGAGCACGGGCACCGCGTGGGCATCCTAGCTGCTAAAAAGTGCTTTACCGAACTCTGCGCCTACTAGCGCAAAACTCTGTGGCAAGTCAGAACAGTCTCCGGTCTCCCAGTGCAAGGCTCCAGAACCCTGAAAGCTCCAAAAACCTACAAGAATGCTCTAGAATCTCTAGAAGCCCTCATTAGACCCCAAAATCAAAAGCCATTAGCACTCTCCATGGGCCAAATGAAAGAGTCTAAACATATTCACCAAGCCCTACGTCATGAATTTCTTGGCTACTGACAAGTAGGTCCGAAACTAGGGGTACGTACCTTAGTGCTAAACCCAGCCCTAAACCCTAAACCCGAAACCTGAAACCCACAACCCTAAACCCTCGGGGTGGGCGCGCCCGGGACCAGCCCACGCGGGACTGCAGCAAGGCCAGCTGGCGACGCAACATGGAGGTGGAGCCGAAGGACATGTCCTGGGAATGGAGGGTTTCTGTGTTTAGGGTTTAGGGGTTTAGGGGTTTAGGGGTTTAGGGGTTTAGGGGTTTAGGGGTTTAGGGGTTTAGGGGTTTAGGGTTTAGGGTTTAGGGTTTAGGGTTTAGGGTTTAGGGTTTAGGGTTTAGGGTTTAGGGTTTAGGGTTTAGGGTTTAGGGTTTAGGGTTTAGGGTCAATGCAAGCTCCATGAGACCTCACTTCACACTCCAAGTAGCTCCGAGACCTCAAACCCAAAACCCTAAACCCTAAACCCTATCTAAACCCTAAACCCTAAACCCAAAACCCTAGGCCGCAAACCCCCGAACTAGGCGGCAGACCCCCACGGCAGCCGCTCGAAGCTATTTCAAGCTTCACGGTTCAGCCCAAAACTGGAAGCCTTCAACCCTGAACCCTAAACCCTAAACTTGAAGCCGAAATCCCAAACCCTAAACCCTAAACCCCAAACCCTAAACCCCAAACCCCAAACCCTAAACCCCAAACCCTAAACCCTAAACCCCAAACCCTAAACCCTAAACCCCAAACCCTGAACCCTAAAGAGACTAGGACAACAAGTCCATGGACCCTCTAGGCCTCGGGGCCCCCGAGGGCACGGCGATACCCCGGTTCGCCAGCGTGGGTTTCGGGTTTAGGATTTAAGGTTTAGGGTCTAGGGTTTAGGGTTTAGGGTTTAGGGTTTAGGGTTTAGGGTTTAGGGTTTAGGGTTTAGGTTTAGGGCCCCCGAGGGCAAGGCGATGCCCCGGTTCACCAGCGTGAGGAAGCGGTAGAGAGCCGTGCGAAGCTCCTGGCCGAAGGCATTCGTTCATGGTTTCGGGCTCAGTAGCCCTAAACCCTAAACCCTAAACCCCTAACCCCTAACCCCTAAACCCTAGACCCTTACATTCAGAAACTTCAGGGCTGCAGGTTTGAGAGTTCTGGGTTCAGGGGTTAGGGTTTCGGCTTTGCCGACATCGGGGTTTTCCGATGCAAGCAGAGGGTTGGCAGGAGCTGGCTGGAGGGTTTAGGGTTTAGGGTTTAGGGTTTAGGGTTTAGGGTTTAGGGTTTAGGGTTTAGGGTTTAGGGTTTAGGGTTTAGGGTTTAGGGTTTAGGGTTTAGGGTTTAGGGTTTAGGGTTTAGGGTTTAGGGCGCTTATAGAGGGGTTGAACTCAAAGGTTGAGTTGAGGGCTCTTTAAGATTTAGGGCTAAGGGCTCAGGTTAAGGCACCCTCGACCCTAGACCCCAAGACCGACACCTAAACCCCAAGGGCTTGCTTTTTTGAGGGGAGTTAAGGCTTGGGGGGGGGGGGGGCAACGTTCAGAAGCAATCTTGGTCAAACTTCTTCCGGGACCCAGCCGCATTCCATCCATTCTTTCTGATACCCCGAACGAGCCGCATTTCCTGGGCGAACATGAGGTCTCGGGACTTGAGTGTAAATTTAGCATCTAGGCTTTGGGTCTGAGGGTTAGAGCATCTTGAGGGCTGAAGGTCTTCAGGGCCTGTCGGTTCTTTAGGTAGTTTAGGGTTTAGGGTTTGGGGTTTAGGGTTTAGGGTTTAGGGTTTAGGGTTTAGGGTTTGGGGTTTGGGGTTTGGGGTTTGGGGTTTGGGGTTTGGGGTTTGGGGTTTAGGGTCGTTAGGGTCGTTAAAGCGCACCGACGGCTGCTGCTTCTACACGCTGGGATACTCCATGTCGAGCTGGTCCGGCGGATGTGAGGTCAGGAAGGACAGGATTGACTCCAGCTCCGTGAACCCCTAAACCCTAAACCCTAAACCCTAAACCCCAAACCCTGTTCTGCGGCGGCCAACTCGACGACAACACGGACTGCTAGTGCCCAGGCTCAGGCGGCAAGCCTGCACGCCTTTGCCAAAGCTCCGGGCACCCGTAGCCAAGAAAAGGGATGAGCCAACTCGTACCCCTAAACCCCAAACCCCCTAAACCCTAAACCCTAAACCCTAAAACCCAAACCCTAAACCCTAAACCCTAAACCCTAAACCCTAAACCCTAAACCCTAAACCCTAAACCCTAAACCCTAAACCCCACCAAATGTGGAGTGGCCCTCCTTGAGGGCAAACCCGGTATGTGCCTGCAGCCGTCTGTTGTCCTGCAGAAGGTCCACGCAGATCTTGTGGACCTTCAGGGGATGGGAACTTCAGGGTTAGGACTTAGGGCTTTAGGGCTCTGGGGCTCTAGGGCTCTGGGGCTTAGGGCTTAGCGTTTAGGGTTTAGGGCCTAGGGCTTAGGGTTTAGGGTTTAGGGCCTCTGGGGGGTTCCCCTAAACCCTAAACCCTAAACCCTAAACCCTAAACCCTAAACCCTCAGAGTTGAGCGCCTCTTTGGACAGATCCAAGAAGACCGTCTTGGCTTCGTCGAAGTTCTTGGCGAGGCTCAGCAGCGAATCGGCACCTGCGGCTTCACACGGTCTAGGGCTCAGGGTTTAGGTTTAGTGTTTAGGGTTTAGGGTTTAGGTTTAGGTTTAGAGTTTAGGGTTTAGGGTTTAGGGTTTAGGGTGTAGGGTTTAGGGTTTAGAGTTAAGGGTTCAGGGTGTAGGCTCCCAATGGTGCCCCAAGCTCAGAGGTTCCAATATTAGGTTTAGGGTTTAGGGCTGACAATGATCAAGTTGAAAATCCCAAGCCTCCCAAACTCAAACCCTAAACATCTAAAACCTCAAACTCCTGAACCCCCAAACCCCCATACAGGTCTCCTCCGACTGGCTCTTCGCAGAGAAGGAGGGAATTCGGCACCCTTCTTCCCCCTATAAAAGCCCTTGAAGAAAATTCTAGAGGGTACCTACCTCCCTCATCCCCTACTACCCTAAACCCTAAACCCTAAACCCCAAACCCTAAACCCTAAACCCGAAACCCTAAACCCGAAACCTTGCCATGGCACAGTTCCTCATGGTCTCCATCGGCACTGGGTCTTCTATGGCCCGCCGGAGGGCCAAGCACATCGCCTTGGCGTTCACGAGGACCTCCCCGAGAGTCTTTTTGGTGATGAAGGTGTGGGATTTAGGGTTTAGGGTTCAGGGTTTAGGGTTCAGGGTTTAGGGTTTAGGGTTTAGGGTTTAGGCGTTTGGGTTTTAGAGCTTTAGGGTTCTAGGGTTTTTGGGGTTTTGGGGTTTTGGGGTTTAGGGTTTTGAGGTTTTTAGGGTTGCGGTGTTGAGGGTTTAGGATTTCGGGCTCGGATTTGGGACTGCGCTCCGTTCCGGGGCTGCACTCCGGTTCCGCCCCCGCTTGAGAAGCAGACACCCAACTCGAGGGCTGCTTTGGGCTTGGGGTAGAAGGTTTAGGGTTTGGGGTTTGGGGTTTGGGGTTTAGGGTTTAGGGTTGAGGGGTTCTTATCTTTGGGCTCGGGGGTTTGAAGATTTTGTTGCTTACGTGTTTTGGAGTTAGGGCTGTCTTGGCTTAGGACGATGTCGGGCTTCAGGTTTGCAAAGCCGCCTGGACCTTACACCGCACTTCACAGGCTTCAGTAGATAATCACGTGGTCGGTTCGCAAAATGGTCCCTTTTGGGGTACCCTAAAAAATAGTAGTGGCCCCAAAAGGGACCCTAAACCCTAAACCCGAAACCCCTCGAAACCTTGAACCCTCTACCCTCCTGACGAGAAGCGCGGAGAAGGGAGGATAGCTTCAGGGCGCTTCTGAAACCCCCACAGAAATCTTCAGTTCCTACTTGGTTTGAGGGTGGTTAGGGTTTTGGGCTTAGGATTTAGGATTTAGGGTTTGGGGGGCAGGGCCCAATAGTGACAGCCATCCGCCTGGCTCTGCGAATTCTCTACGGCATACTCCAAGAGAATCTTGCACAAGTGGCTGAGGAGAAGGAACTGCTCCTCCTGGGTTTAGGGTTTAGGGTTTAGGGTTTAGGGTGTAGGGTTTAGGGTTTAGGGTTTAGGGTTTAGGGTTTAGGGTTTAGGGTTTAGGGTTTAGCGTTTAGGGTTTAGGGTTTAGGATTTAGGGTTTAGGGTTTGGAGTGTAGGGTTGAGGGCATCGAGACCCTCGACTGCGCATGCCCACCCAAAAAAAACACCCCCCCCCCCCCCCCCCAAAGTTAGACGCCCATGTCCCTCCCTTAAGGATAGTTGGGAAATCTTGTGCCTAAACCCTAGGGTTTAGGGTTTAGGGTTTAGAGCCCTAAACCCTGAAACCCTACTCGAAGAGCCGGGCAGCATCGGGTCGGCAGATGTCCATGAGGCGAGGCATCTCGGGGAGGAAGATGGTACACGCCTGTGCGGCTACCCAATCAAGGGGGGGGGGGGGGGGTTAGGGTTTAGGGTTTAGGGTTTAAGGTTTAGGGGTTAGGGTTTAGGGTTTAGGGTTTAGGGCTGGTTCTTAGTAGGGACTGAGGGCCCTATATAATCCCTTAGAGGGTAGAAAATCGCCCTCATTCCCTCATTCCCTGATTCCCTCATTCCCTACTCAGACCCAGGAGGAGGGGGGGGTTAGGGTTTAGGGCTCGAGGGCATAAGGGCTTTAGGGATTACGGCTTAAAGGTTTGATTGCATTGATGCAGGAAAGTCCAAAGACTGCAAAAAAACAAAAAACTCAGGGTCTACGGCCCGAGGGCTGAGTTTTAGGCGACAGCGCGCCTCGTTCATCCGGAGCGCCGTGTTCTCCTTTCAGGACGTCGACACCCGGCTCGCAACCAGTCAAAAATGTTCGTAGACAGTCAGGCTTCGTCTGAAATCAAAGTAATAGCATGGCAAAGAAGCAAAGGCCCACTGGGTTAAGTGTTTAGGGTTGAGGGTTTCGGGTTTAGGGTTTAGGGCTTAGGGTTGTAGGGTTTAGGGCTTAGGGTTGAGGGTTTAGGGTTTAGGGTTTAAGGCTTAGGGTTGAGGGTTTAGGGTTTAGAGCTTCGGATTGGACGGTGCCTTCTCCTTCTCGCGCGCTTGCTTGACATCCTCGGCGGCCAACCTTTGTGGACGTTTAGGGCTTAGGGCTTGGGGCTAAGGGTTTAGGGTTTAGGGTTTAGGGTTTAGGGTTCAGGGTTCAGGGTTCAGGGTTCAGGGTTCAGGGTTCAGGGTTCAGGGTTCAGCGTTCAGCGTTCAGGGTTCAGGGTTCAGGGTTCGGGGCCAAGATTAGCAACCAATCGAGGTGCGGGGTCTAGGCGGGGCTAGGGTATCAGCCTGGGAGATTGGGATGTAGAGGGGTTCAAGAATTTGCGAGTTCTAGGGGCTTAGCAAGCTCAGGACTCACAGGCTTTAGGGCTTGGGGTTGTTGGGGGCGGGGGGGGGTTCATGTAGGGTCCCTAGCAAGCCAAACAAGCCTAGACCCCCAAACCCTAGAAGCCCGAAGACTCTGCACCACACAACCCAGCTCAAGCTCCCTCATTCCCTCCCTCCTTGCCTCCCTCCCAAACCCCAAGCCCCAAAACCGCAGAAGCCCTAAACTCTAAACTCTAAACCTAAACCCTAAACACCACACCCTCAAACCGTCAACCCTAAACCCAGAACACCTCACCCTCAAACCCCGAGACCTAACACCCTGAATCCCAAAGCCGTGCATTGTGTACCACCACCCCCACCCCCCCCCCCCCCCCCCCCCCCCAAACCCTGAACCCTAAACCCTGAACCCTGAACCCTGAACCCTGAACCCTACACCCTACACCCTACACCCTAAACCCTAAACCCTAAACCCTAAACCCTAAACCCTAAACCCTAAACCCTCCAGCCCTGCCTCACCGCGGCCTCCATGATGTAAAGCCTTGGTTTGGGGTTTAGGGCTTAGGGTTTAGGGTTTAGGGTTTCGGGCGCAGGGTTCAGGGTTTAGGGTTTTGGGGGGGATGTGAGGGACATGGGGGCGGCTTTGGGCTTTTAACTTAGGGTTTACAGATTCGGTTTTAGGGTTTTTTACGTAGTTCCTCCTCCAACCTCGACAAGAACAGACATGAAACCCGAAATCCTGAATCCTAAGCCTTAATATGGGGTTGAGGGTTTAGGGTTTAGGGTTTGGGGTTTAGGGTTTAGGGTTGAGGGTTTAGGGTTTAGGGATTAGGGATTGTAGGGTTTGGGGATTGTAGGGTTTGGGGTGTAGGGTCTTGTGAAGGCCGGGCGACAAGCAGAGGCGCTGCCTGTCCGAGATGGGGTTGGCACCTGCATCTTTCTGGCTTGGCTCACGGCTAGGCTGAGGGTTGAGGGTTGAGGGTTGAGGGCTTAGGGTTTAGGGTTTAGGGTGTAGAGTTTAGAGTTTAGAGTTTAGAGTTTAGAGTTTAGAGTTTAGAGTTTAGAGTTTAGAGTTTAGAGTTTAGAGTTTAGAGTTTAGAGTTTAGAGTTTAGAGTTTAGAGTTTAGAGTTTAGAGTTTAGAGCTCAGGCTTCATGGTGGAGCGCCGAGGGTCTTGCCCAAGATTTAAGGTATAGGACCTCAGGGTAGTTTCCGAAGTGACTAGGCAGTTCAACCCATGTGGTCAGTTCACTGGTCCAAAAGGGACCAGATTCCAGAGAAGTGACCATGTGGGTCTTGGGTGACAGCCAAGGGCCCCCACCCACCCGTCGAGAATGCTCGCCGATGAGGCAGAGGTTCACCATGGTTCCCCAGTGCCTCGGTTCGCAAGACTGGGGGCCAGGAAGGTTGCGGGTTTAGGGCTCTCTTCAAGCCGAAGCCAAAGGGGCCTAAGCCCTACGCTTTGGGGTTTCGGGCTTTGGGTCCAGGGTTTAGGGCTAGTACCCCAAGAAGCACCCAGCGTTGCTGCCCGGGAGCCACAAGCACGGTGCTTTCCGCCAGAAAGCTGCCACGACGCCTCGCTCAGGGCATTGCAAGCAGGGGGTGGGCGGCGGGATGGAACTCAGGATCTAGGGTTCGGTGCAAACACACCACGTGAAACAAGAAAAATTGGGGTTTAGGGTCTCTAGGGCCTCAACCCTGGGAGACACAGTTTCTGGCCTGTAGGACATCTTTGGAATCAAAGCCTCACTCATTCGCAGATACGGAGGGGGAGGATTATGTCATCTCGAGAGCTTGAAGCTTGGGGCTTGGGCCGTTTGTGCACAAGTTTGGAGGGGGGAGGAGTGTGGGTTAAGGGGCTGAAGGCATAGGGCCTTCGAACGCAAAAAAGCAGCCAAGTGCCCTCCCCCCAACCCTCAAACCCCAAAGTTCTCCAAAACCCTCAAGCCTTCAGCCTCAAACCCTAAACCTTAAACCCTAAACCCTAAATCCTAAACCCTAAGCCGTGACCCTGGAACTCTTAAGCCTCAAAAAGCCCTGTGGCAGATAGACCTTCCAAGCCTCCCTTCCACTATCGGAATCTTCAGGGAAGGGGAATCAAGGGGCGTACGTACCCCAAGGCTCCCGAATACTCCCCACTACTCTCTAAGGCTCCCTAAGCTTCCCTAAGGTTCCCTAGCTACCTACCTGAAACCTGAACCCTGAACCCTGAACCCTGAACCCTGAACCCTGAACCCTAAACCCTAAACCCTAAACCCTAAACCCAAACCCTAAACCCTAAACCCTAAACCCTAAACCCTAAACCCTAAACCCTAAACCCTAAACCCTAACCACCCTAAACCCTAAACCCTAAACCCTAAACCCTAAACCCTAAACCCTAAACCCTAAACCCTAAACCCTAAACCCTAAACCCTAAACCCTAAACCCTAAACCCTAAACCCTAAACCCTAAACCCTAAACCCCAAAAACCCTAAACCCTGAACCCTGAACCCTAAATACCCCATCCCTTAAGAGCCCTAGAACTTCAACCCGGCGGCGTTCCGTGAGCCGTAGCTTCTCGGACATGTACTCCTCGAGGAACTCGAGCAGCCTCAGACTTCTCAGGGTCAAGCCGGATGATTTAGGGTTTAGGGTTTAGGGTTTAGGGTTTAGGGTTTAGGGTTTAGGGTTTGGGGTTTGGGGTTTGGGGTTTGGGGTTTGGGGTTTAGGGTTTAGGGTTTAGGGTTTAGTGTCCAGGGGCTTTGTAGGGGCGTGGAGAGGTTGTCGGCTTGATTTGTTTCTCTGGGCTCGAGGTTAGACAAAACCTCTGACCTTAAATCTGTCCTCATTCTTCCTAAGGATCGCCATGGAGGGCCCGGGCAAGTCAACTTTATCCACAAAGCCCCTGTAGCCTCGTGAGCACCCCGAAAATCGACCCTCTTGCAAACGTCTACAGGGTTAGGATCGCCCTTAACCCTTAACCCTTAACCCTAAACCCTGAACCCTGAACCCTACACCCAAACCCCTAACCCCTAACCCCTAAACCCTAAACCCTAAACCCTAAACCCTAAACCCTAAACCCTAAACCCTAAACCCTAAACCCTAAAACCTAAACCCTAAACCCTAACCCTCTCTGCAGGCGAAGGACATGGAGATGGCAGTCAGCGAGCTGTCCTGCTCCCTCACAATATCCCCGCCGCCCTCGAAGCCGCCGTCCTGGCCCCGAGAACCCTAAACCCTAAACCCCAAACCCCAAGTCCCAAACCCTAAACCCTAAACCCTAAACCCTAAACCCTAAACCCTAAACCCTAAACATCAGGGCTCAGGGTTGCTGTTCAAGGGTCTTAGTAGGGACTTCGGGTCTCAGGTGCTAAACCCTAAACCCTAAACTCCAAACCCCAAACCCCAAACCTGAAACCCTAAACCCGTAACCCTAAACCCTAAACCCTAAACCCTAAACCCTAAACCCTAAACCCTAAACCCTAAACCCTAAACCCTAAACCCTAAACCCTAAACCCTAAACCCCCGCCGTGTGGAATCTACCGATGAAGAAGTTCGGGCCGGCCGAGGCTCTGGGATGGAAGTGGGCAGTCTGTGGGCATCTGAACCCTAAACCCTGAACTCATCTTTTGGGGCCACTTGAACCCTAAACCCTAAACCCTAAACCCAAATTATGAACTTAGGATTCTGGGCAAGGCCTGGGGGGGGGGGGATGACACAGGCCCTTGCTGGGAATGGCAGTTGCTTTGGGGGCCTCATTTCCGGGTTTAGGGCTTAGGGCTCGGGGCTTAGGGCTTGGAGGATTGGGGTTTGTGGTTGAGGCACAGGACACCCCTAAACCGCAAACCTTCAAACCTCCTCTACAACCGCCCCCCCCTCTCCCCTACACTCCCGCAGTCGCCCCCAAAGAACTACGGCTACATCAGGGTGGCTGAGTGCCGGGTTCAGGGTTCCCAGCTTGGCTTAAACGGACGCGAAACCCTGAACCCTATAGACCCGAAAGCCTAAACCTTGCAAACCCTGGACCAGAAGGTCAGAAGAGTAAACCCTAAACCATAAAACCCTCGATCTCTTGACTCTACCACTT